GCAATTTGGAGCTACATCATTCCCTCCCTCCCCCAGCGAAGATATCATTAGTAGCCTCCGAAGAGGGCAAAGAGAGGGAGCGTGGGGAAAGACCCACATGGGCACTACAAAAATATTTTAGCAGCACATTTTGTTGTAGCAAAGAACTGGCAACAAAACACATTCTATCAATTGCAGAATGACTGAATGAATTATGGCTTATGAATGGAATGGAATATATTGTGCTATAAGAAATGATGAAAAGGGTAGTTTAAGAGAAACCTAGGAAAATTGCACTTTATTTAAAAATCATTTATTTGTATTTGAACTCAAACACACGCACAAGCTTTTTGTTCCAAACTGCACTTTTTTTTTCTTTTTTGGGGTGAAGTGACTTGCCCAGGGTCACAGAGATAGTGTCAAGTGTCTGCAGCTGGATTTGAACTCAGGTCCTCCTGACTCCAAAGTCAGAGCTCTATCAAATGCGCCACCTAGCTGCCCCTTAAAACTGCACTATCTATTATATTCTATAGAAGATATTTTTTTAAATGTCATAATGGCCCTCTTTTGGGGGAAGATATATCACTATTACAAGCTCTCCCCCAAACATCCTTCCAATTAAAAACCAAGAGGAAAAAAGCAGAACCGTGTAACAAATAAGGATAGTCAAGCAAAATGAATCACAGTGGCCATGTGAAAAAACGTAAGGAAGTAGACAACATTCTTCATCATAGGTCTTCTGGAAACACAGTTGGTAATTAAAATGATCAGAATTTTAAATCTTTCAAAAGTGTTTTCTTTAAAATGTTGCCGTCCTTATATAAATTATTCTCTCGGTACCGTTCACTTTACCATGTATAAATCATTTGGCACTACCTAGTATGAAATTATCTTTTTCATCATTTCTTATAGTGCATTAACATTCCATTCCATTCATACATTACAATTTATTCAGCCATTCCCCAGTTGTCTAAGAGGCACCCCATTAGATTCTAGGTATTTTATTTGAATTTTTTTTTTTTTTGGTGAGGCAATTGGGGTGAAGTGACTTGCCCAGGGTCACACAGCTAGGTAAGTGTCAAGTGTCTGAGGTCAGATTTGAACTCAGGTCCTCCTAACTCCAAGGCTGGAGCTCTATGCACTGTGCCATCTAGCTTCCCCTATTTTAATTTTTTTCCCCTTTCAATTCCCTCTTCAGTTTCCAATAGTTTTTTTTTTTTTTTTGCTTGTGTAATCTGGTGTTCAAACCCATTCGAATAAGATTCTATTTATTGATGAATAATCAGTCCATGCCTGCAGTGGGGGTGCAGGGTGTTGGTGGGGAAGAGCTTGGGAGGGAAAAGCATAGTTCATAGAGTGCTGGGCCTGGATCTCAGACACTTACTAGCTGTATGACTTTGAATATGTCGTTTAACTTCTGGTTTCCTCAACTGTGAAATGGGAATAATAGCACCTATCTCTCAGGGTTGTTGTAAGGATAGTACATAGTAGGCACTATATAAATTCTTTGGGCCTCCAGCTTCTACAAGAGACACTCAAGGGGCAGCTAGGTGGCGCAGTGGATAAAGCACAGGCCTTGAAGTCAGTAGGACCTGAGTTCAAGCCTGCCCTCAGACACATAATACTTACTAGCTGTGTGACCCTGTGCTTAGCCCCACTTAACCCCATTGCTTAGCCAAAAGAAAAGAGACACTCAATTACAGAATTTTCTTCAGCTAAAGGTCCCTAAAGGGAGAAAAAGACTCTAGGAAGAAGCTGATGTGTTAAGGAACCTCAATAATGTCCCTACCCTCCCGGTTTAGTACAGTAGAGACTTCAGGCAATGTCCCTTTGGGTGAAATCTGGGATACTACCTTCTGGTTGAGTTTAGTTAGATATCTTGCACCTAGTGGGATAGCTCATTCACGCTGTGTATTATCTAGTGTGTTCTAATCTATATAACTTCTCTGATTTCTGTTTGTTATCAGCTTGGATAAATGGGCTTATTTGCTATTATTTATGTGACTATATTATGTGATGATTTTTATATGCTTGACATTTGATGGGAAGGGAGTCAAGCCTTTAGATACATACCTTGGAGCATCTCTTTACTCTTAAGGAACAGCAATCAGGAGAGTGGCTTGAACCTTAAACTTATTTCCCCTAAAATAACAATATTTACGGTGGTGGATAGATGTAATTTTAGCTTAGTACCCTCTCCTCCACTGACAAGAGCAGATTGTCCAGCCTGGTGCTCTCCATCTCCTGCTCCCCTCCTGTCATGAATTAAAGTTTCTTTTGGAAAAGGGTAAGCAGAGAAGATTCTGGAGATCTCTCTGAGCCATATTTATATGGGCACACATAAGCTAAGTGATCACCAACACACACATTTCACACTTGTAATTATTCCCTAATTATTTTTGTCTCTCAACATTCTCTTTCATATCCCCATTTTCCTTTGAGAATAATTACAATTGTTATAACATTACTGACTCCTTATTTTGGGAGATCTCTAGATCTGCAATAATTTTTTTTTTTGATACTGGTCAGTATTTTCTTTGATTTACTCATCTCTCCTACTTTAGTTTATGAATTGGAGCTTTGTGCCAGGGCCAGGTGCCACCCCATGATGCACTTTTGAGGGAAGGTGATGAACCTGGATCATCTAGATTCTTGTGCTGACTTCTACCTCCCTAGCTTTGGACACCTCTCTTCTAATTTTGCAGGTTCAGAATATGGGATCTTAAAGGTCCTCACTGGCATTTCAGGATCTTCTAGTTCTTGGACCTGGGCTGTCGTGGTCTTTCAGCCATGGCAATCATTGCTCACTGTGCTGCCACTGCTCTCAAATACTTCCAAGTTCCTAACGTGGAACTTTCTCAGAAGAATCTTCAGCTTTTGCCGTTATCAGGACATAGAGCCTTGCATGCTACATATGTCCCTGCCCTGTCTCTTGTCAACAATGGTACTGGCTTCGCTGGTGAATGCAAGTTCCTCAGGCTTCTGGTTGACCTTTTTAATGGAAGAAGTCACTGTAGTTTTTCGTTGTATTTTTTGATCCTTCTTTGGTCTGGTGTGAACTTCATGGTTTTGCTGGAGTAAGTCTGTAGGAACTGGGCTGACTGACTCTGATTCAGGCAGCCGTCTTGGACAGAAATCCAAAGCTAAGATTTGTATGATGAGCTTAACTAGCTAGCTCAAGCAGATTCACAGGAGAGGTGATAATCAAGGAAGATAAATAACCCGAAGTGAATCAAAAGCCAGTAGATAATAGTAGAATAAGTTTTAGAGCCACTAAGGATCTGGGAGGAAGAGTGAAGTGAGTAGAACCAGGACAGTTTACACAATGAAGATATCAATACAAAGACACAGCATACAGCCTTCTTCCTGGAAAAGAGGAGCTGCATGAAGAACATGTTTTCAGTTGTAGCCAGCTGCTTAGGGGATCCTTCATGAGTTGAGTTCTTCTAACACCCAAGAAGAAATTATAGGATATAAAGGGCAACTGAGGAAACAATCTGAGCTACATGATTTATTAGCAAAACAGACATAGTAAATGGGTCAATGGACTCTCCAGTCAGTCCAAAGACCTTGATGCAGAGACAGATTTTTATGTATTCAAAACAATTAATCAAATAAGAGCAATTAATTAAAATAAAACAATTAACAGGAATCAAAATTAGGTAATCTGATTTCTAATTGGAGGAAAGATTAGGGGGATTGGGGAAGAGTTTCAGTTGAGTTGGGAGTGGCTTTCAGGGTCTTTCTTTTCCTAGAATTGAGAGATGTTGATTAACTGCATCCACCTGCATTCATGAAACAATAGATGGCTTATATCATTTAGTTTTCCATGGATTACTTGCAAACAGCAACAGGAAGGATAATATATGTGACAGCACAAGATGGTCTTGGTGGTCATGAGATAGAATCTAATTGATTCTCTTGATTCCCACACCAAACTAACTCCATTTTGTAACTAGTCATCACCCTATTTGTCAGTAACAGAGACAAGGTGGTGTTAAGGTCTTAAAGGGAATGGGAAGTGTCTATGCTTTACTATTCTTTTAGGGCAAGTGAAAGAGTTCTCTAATCAACTTTTTGATGGAATCATAGGACAGCTACTCATTGTCTGGCTACATGATCAGCCAGGGCCCTGGCAGCATTTAAAAAGCAAGGCATACTTTCTTCTTCTTTTTTTTTTCCCCAGGCAATTGGGGTTAAGTGACTTGCCCAGGGTCACACAGCTAGTAAGGGTCAAGTCTTTGGTCTGAGGTCGGATTTGAACTCAGGTCCTCAGACTTCAGGGCCAGTGCTCTACCCACTTCTCCACCTACCTACCCCTAAGGCACACTTTCTAAGGAATGATTTGAGACCTGTTTGATGCATCACTTGTGAGAGATTCAGTCTGAGCAGTTCAGAAAACAGAAGATGAGAGAAGAATCTGACTTTTGAGGAAGTTCTAGCTTTTAGGGAAGGGATTTCTTCACCCATTGCCCCATCATCAATGTCATCTTGTGGCAGAGCAACTTGATCAACAGTCCCCAAAGAAAAGGCCCACTGAGTCCACCTGTGGAGCTGAGATGGAGTCAGTCCTGAGAATTGAGAATTTAAGTGCAGAGAAGAGAAACCCCAGCTGAGTGACCTGCCCAGCAGAGACACCAAGCCTAGGGAGGAAGGGTACGAGGATGACCATAAGGGCACTAGGTGCCCTGCAGTGCCAGAAGTGAATTTCCTTGGCTATTCCTATATGCCTAACTACAGGTCTACTTTGTGTGAGCACATTAATTCTGTGTGTATTTATGGGAGGATGTGTCTTAGTTTTATGGTGGGATGAGGGGAGGAAAGGAGATGAGGGGAGGAAAGGAAACAAGTATTTATTAAGCACCTACTATTTGCTGGGCACTATGTTTAGAACTTTACAAATAGTATCTCATTTCATTTTCACAATAACCCTGGGAGATAGGTGCTATTACTATCTCCATTTTACAGTTGAAGAAATTGAGGCAGACATTGGTGAGGTGACTTGCCTGGATCTGAACTCAAGAGATACCTTGTTACTATCTCTGTTCTCTGTGCTGTCATTGCTACAATTCATTCCCCTTTTCTAGAAAGAAAACTAGTAGTTGCTGGTCTTTATTCTAGGTTTTGTTATTTCCAGTGTTGAAAGAGTTCTAGAGAAATGAGTGCATCTGAATAGAAATGGGGAGAGATATCCCACCTCTGTAAGAGCTAGCTACGTTCTCTAGGGAATTACCAAAACTTTGGTGTCCCTCTGCAATAGCACTATTCCTTAGTCTGCCCAAGCAGATTCTTAGGATAGGTGGTAATCAGACAAAGATGAATCATTGTGAATTGAAAGTCGATAGACACAGAGTAAGTTTGAGAGCCACCAAGGATCTAGGAGCTGAAGGGAAGGGTGCATCAGTAGGTATTCTATGTGAACCCATTTTTTAGATTCTTCATTGGTACTTACACGAGAGTTCCTCATTTTCAAATGTATGCTGCAGCCAACTAATACTCCTGCTTCTATGGCAGGCAGTAGGATATGAGGAGGCAGCAACTATCATTACCTTCTAATTTACCTATGGGTGAGGATTTACCCGAGAGTATCCCACACCACTTGCCTTGACTTGTGGTAACCTTTAGGTGCCTCCAACCCTTCTGAGTTCAACATGATGGTCTTTCAACCTTATGGGAGTAGTAGGGGAACTCCTCAGCCTCTGTATTTTCCCTAACCCACTATCAACACTGTGTAGGTATGGGTTTGTGTGTGTGTTTATTTAAAATAATTCCTTATAGAAACAGTGGTAAATGAAGTAGCTCTTAGCATTAAAAAACAGGTGAAGAAGTCTTATGCCAAGGAAAACTGGTAGCTGCCTAACTAAATAAAGCTACCCTTACAATAATGCCCACTGTCCCCACTGCTTACCCCTCACTTCCCAGATATAGGCCCCATGGACTCAGAACTCTAAGGAAAGGGCTGGGGAATGGCAGATATGGGAGAGGGAAGCTGTGAGGGTAGATGATAAGGGTTCTGTCTGGATTATCCCCTCCTTTGGAAAACCCAGGGCTCCTATCAGGCCAGCATTTCCTCCCTTCTCTCTGCCCCCACCTTCTTGTTCTTGCCCAAAGCCAGGCATCTCGCCTCTCTGTAGGGTGAGCAGATAGAGGCATATTGCTTCTGGCAGAAACTACAAATTTGAGGAACTCAAGGGAAATGGTGAGTAGTGGGAGAGAAAGGTCATACCTGAGGACTGGAAAGGAGTGTTGACCTAGCTGGAGCTGAGGAGGGATGGGTTTTTCAGTCTGGTGGATTGAGGGTAGTGGTAGTAACAAACAGCCAGTTGACTGAAGTGGTGGATACTAGGATCCGGAAACAAGAGGGCTAGTGGGGTGAGTGGGGAGATGAGAAATTCGGGTCAGAGGAAGAAGATGCCTGAGTTCTTTGGGGATAATCAAGGGTTGAGGAAATTATATGGAAAGACTTAGGGCCAGACACCTGGGTCCTGGAAAGGCTATGGGGCTGAGGGCCTGGACACCTGAGTCTTTGGGAGCATCAAATGCAGGGGAATAAGAAGTGAGAGACTGGGAGATATCCTTGCCTAGCAGGGGATGGGAAGAAGGGAATTAGGAACCCGGGAAGGGGAGGGGTGAAAAGTCTGGAGACTGGGTGGGTCTGGTCATGGGTACTTCTGGAATTTGGAATCTGAAAGGATTACGTGAATGTGAATAGGGAAGGAATCACCACAGCTTCTTTTCCCCTTCCACAGGACCCCAGGCTACTCTTAGTCTTCCTCTTCCTCTTCCTCCTGAGCGCCTCCCATTCCCAAACTCCCTGTGAGAGCCACGAAGTGGCTAGCAAGCTGGAAACCAACTGTGAATCCCTTGGTCTGAAGTCTGTGCCATTGAAGCTGCCCCCAAAAACTACCACTCTCCTCCTTCAGAAGAATGACCTGAAATCCTTCTCCACTTCTTCCCTCAGTCTTCTAACCCAACTCACTGAGCTCAACTTGGCTAAAAATAATATGAGTGTCCTGGTGGCAGATGAGAAACTTCCACTCCTCTCAATCCTTGATCTCTCTGATAATGACCTACAGACCCTTCCCCAACTAAGGTACTTTCTCCCCTCTCTCACATCGCTTGACCTCTCCAGAAATGCCCTGAAGTCTCTCTCCGCAGAAATCCTGGCTGGTCTGGATTGCTTAGAGAACCTCTACCTTCGAGGCAACGAGCTGAGGAGTCTGCCCCCAAACTTTCTGAAAGCAGCACGCAAACTCGAGAAGCTGGATCTGGCAAACAATTACTTGGAACAACTGTCAGCAGACCTGTTGGCAGATCTTGAGAATCTAAATACCCTCTTCCTACAGAATAACCTGCTCTCTGTCCTTCCGGCTGGCTTCTTTGAGAACAATCTCTTCCTGTCTTATGTCTTCCTCCATTCCAATCCATGGAACTGCAGCTGTGAATTTCGATACCTACATGACTGGCTACAGGAAAATTGGGGTAATGTCTACCTCTGGAAGGAAGGTATGAATGTCAAGGTCATGACTCCAACTGTGGAGAGTGTAGAGTGTGAGGTTCCCTTTAGAACACCTGCCTACAACTTCTCTTTGAACTGCCCCATCACTGTGAATTATGCTTATGACAGCTATGATAAGTATGATGGGCTAACTGTGAAAGGGGTCCCAGAATCTGAAACTACTACTATTCCAAACACCGTCTCCCTGGAGCATTCCACAGTCCTTAACAGATCAAAAATGACCATGACAGAACTCACCACATCCCCAAAAACTGCAGAAAAAACCACATTCCCAAATCCCCAAAGGTCCACCATATTCCTTAACCCAAAAACAGCTGTGTTCCCAACAATGCCAGAACTCACTAGGTTATTTATCTCCTCAGAAGCTCCTACAATCCAGGTTACTTCAGAACCCACTACATTCTCAGAGAATCTGGAAACAACCAGGCCCCCAACCTCTCCAGAAGCCATCACATTCCCTGTAACCTCAGAAAAAGCCATGCTCCAAACCACCCCAGAACTTGTCACATTTCCAGCCACAAATTCCATTGCACATACTTCTCCCCTGCCTGTTACCTCCCCAAGTCTCTCTTCAACTTTAACCCTCCTGAATTCCAAAATTCTCCCACCAAATGAAGCTCTAGGAAGCTCAGGTGATCCCAGCAATTCCTCTCCCCTTTCCATCTCCTGCTGCCTTTTCTCTCTGAGGTTCTACATTTTTGGAATAGCTTGGGTTCTGGTCTCTTCCATTGTTCTCATTCTCTTCTTAGCTCTAGCCCAGCCCCCACCTCACCTGCCAAGGACCCATGCTTTTATGGAGGACATTCCCAAACCACAGGCCACTGTCCACCTTGAGCTCCTTAAGGGGAAGGAGGTGATAGTCCCTAGAGCTTGCCTCCTTTATCTTGAGGGATTAATACCCTCCTTCCGCACTAGACTCTTTTTGTGGGTACAGTCCAATGGCCGAGTGGGCCCTCTGACTCTGAAGAGGAAACCATCTGCCATAAGCCTGGGTCGAGGGGGAGACCTACTGGGGTCAGTCAGCATCAGGTATTCAGGTCACAGCCTCTGAGAAGTGCTTCTATAAACAAACCCTGTCATGCTCAGATTCCTAGACAGAATCTAGCATCCTAAATGACTTGGGAAAGATCAGTGTGGATGTGGCATACTCTTCTGAAATCTAGGGGCAGCATATGAATCCAAAATAAAAATTTCTTCTAGTAATCAGTTCTTACTGTGTGTATTGGGCAGGGGTGGGGGAGAAAGATTTTAGGTCTTGGGGGTGGTAAGATATACTGGTGGGGTAGTACTATCTACATTGCCACATTCCCTCTCCCCATCACAGATTTTGAGTTTGAAGTGGTGGTGGGACATTCAAGAAGAGATGTCCTGAAAGCATTTGGAGATGGGGCTGGATTCAAGTGGGTAACAAAGCAGCGACCAAAGATGGTAGGAAAGAAGACTAACCGGGACACGAGGGGGAAGCATTGGAGGAAGTAGATATGAATGAAATGGAGACACAGCATAAGGAGGGAAAAGATTGAATTTCTAAGTCACATGCATTAACATTTTTTTTTCAATTGCAGAAAAGTTTAGTTTTTTCTGAAGTTTGAACCATAGAACTCTCTTGATGCTCTTTCCTCTACACCACAATGTCTTGGTGTGATAGGCTTGGGATACCCCCCCCCCCCCCCCAAGTAGAATCCTTTGGGGGAGAGAAAATAAGTAGATTGTTCCCCTGGAACACTAGGGTCCTCCAGTGCTAACTTCCTATTCCCCCAGAATCTCAAAACATTTTATCTCCTGGAAAGACTCTCGTCTCGTTACCTTCCCAAATGAGTCCCAACAGACCTTTCTCCTTTCCTTGAGACATCCTCTTTCCTGACCACCTAACCTCCTCTTCTAGCACCCAGCACAGACGGAACAAATATTTAGGATTTCAGCCCACAATTATCTCCTGAGATCCAGCCCCACATCTCCAACTGCTTTCAAGACATCTCTTCTTGGACACCCCACCACTTCAAACTCAAAATTTCAAAATCCAGACAAATCACAATGTCCCCAAACCTTCCACCCACCTCTATTTAACTTTACTTTTTAATGCCAAAGGAAATACCATCCTCAAAGTCATCCAGGCTGAAAACATCAAAATCCCTTTACTATGGAATGTTGCACCAGGTTCAAGCCTGACTTCTTACACATTGATGTCAGAGGTTTTAAAAAGGTTAATGTTTATAAAAAAAAATTATTGTCCTCTTCTGTATTCTTAAAGACCTTTCAATGATCACCTTTATTAACTTAATTTTAGTTTGCATATGGGTTAAGGAGCCAATGATCATATCCACATTTGCACCTTCACATTTTGCAACTGCAAAAAAAATCAACAAATGTTTATCTTTTACAGCTACAAAAGGCTAAAAGATGTTACCCCACAGTTTATCCTTTATGCCCGTTTACCTTACCTCTTTACCAACTGGCTATAGCATAGAATGCCTTGTCTGATGTTATTAATAACAACCACAGAACATCAGAACTAGAAGAAGCCTGTAAGAACATGGAGCCCAATCCCCTCATTTTACAGATGTGAAAACCGACACCCTGAGATCAAGTAATGTGCTTGAGCTCACACAGCTAGTTTTAATCTTATGCTTTGTTTTTAACTTAGAAAAGAGGTCAGTAGAATATTTACTCTCCTTCCCCAATGCCAATGTGGTTTGTTCAATTTTAGGTTGGAACTGTTCCTTTACCATACTTTGGGCTTCTTTACTTTCCTGGTCTATAGGAAGCCTACTGCTCCATATCTCCATCTAGGAGTGGGTCTTAAGAAGGCTTCAGGTTACATCAAAGTGCCCACAAGGTGCAAAGGTAACAAAAGCACTGTCCCGGATCAAGAGACTTGGATTCTAGTGCCTGCTTTGCCACTGTGTGACTGTGAAGCTTACTTTCTCTGTCTAGGTCTCAATTTCCTCCTCTATAAAATGAGTGTTGAATTGAATGTGCTCAAAGATCCCTTCCAGAACTGATTCCATTACTTTGATTTGCTTACACTATTAAAATGTTGATAATTATAACCTAGCAGAAGAGTGAGTCTAGATGTAAATTTGGGCAACTTGACCTCAACTCAACCTTACCAGCTTAAGCCATCTAACAAAGAAACCCAAGGCCCAGTGACTTGCCCAAGGGAGTAAGCAGCAAAGGTAGAATCTGATACCTGATCCTGACTCCAAATCCAAGGATTTTTCTGTTGGACTTCACTGTCTTTTGCTCTCCTAAATGACCCTTCCCACCCCAAACCTGCAACCAAATGCCTAGGTTAGCTGTTTCCTTGTTACTGAAAAGAATTTTTTCTTTCTCCTCTTTCCTTCACCTTTGTAAATCCTAACCAATTTTACAATTCGATTTAAGTCCCTGCTCCCTCCCTGATGCTGCATATTATCTCCCTGTATAGATTATCAAGGGCTCCCCATTGGCAGCGATTTGTATGTCTCCAAAGAGGCAGGTGATCATCAGTGCTTACTACAAAGACTGGTCCCCATTCACTGACCATAATAATATTGCTCACTTGCCCCATCCACTCTCCCTTCAGACTGGGAAGTTAGTTTGTCTCCCACATTCTTCCCTGTAGCAATTGGGCTTCAGCTCTTTCAAGGGACATCCATTTCCCACCCTAGCTCCCAACAAAAGCAGGGAATATGAGAACTGCAGAACATTTCCATGATTCTAGAAAAACAGCTGAAGTAATGACAAGTCCCTTACTATAGTTAAATATATTTTTGTAAAATCATCATATATTTTCACCATCATTTTTAAGATTAAAAAAAAAAAAAAGGCAGACAACCTGTACCCCAGGAACCCAATGAAAGCAGCCCCTGTCCTCAGGCTGAGGGAGAATAAAGGACCCAAGCACATACAGAGGCAAACACCTCTTGCTTCCTTATGACTGTCACTTGTAATGACAGAAATGTGGGAACATGTGGAGTGCGGAGGGGCCCTGGTCTTGATCAGTGTGGAAGTTAGGCAGATACCAAATTTCAACCCTGTCTCTCTTTTTGTGAGGCAACTGGGATGAAGTGAGCAGCCCAGAATAACACAGCTAGTAAGTGTTATGTGTCTGAGGCTAGATCTATCCATTTCATCACCTAGCTGCCCCAATCCTGTCTCTTACTGGGCATTTACTAGGCCCTATGCTAAGGATGGGGACTGAGAGAAGTATTCAACCTCACCATGGGGCTTCTACTTTACTACAGGCGCTCTCCTCTGCTTCCTCCCTTTTTTCTTTCCTACTAACTTAGTTTCCCTGCTTGGGAAGCAAGCAGAAATATTCTATCAGCCAAGGAACATCATCCCTAGGTGTCCAACTGCACTGTGGAACTTAAAACCATCCAAGCTGTTGCTTCTGCCAGCATCTCCTTGCCCTCCCCCCTCCTCCAGGGGATGTTGCTGGGGTGGAGGTGCCAAGAGTTATGATGACAAGTCCCAGGCTCTTTGGGGGAACCTAGAGGCCACAGGAAAAGGGAAGCAGAGTCCAAGCTGGAGCAGGGGACAGATCAAAGTCCTTTATATCAGGAGAAACCACATGGGGGGGGGGGAAGGAAGAATGAAGGAGTTGGGGGAAATAAATAGAATGAGAGGCTGAGGGGGGCAGAATCCAGACACCCCCTTTGGGAGGTGAATATATGGTAAGGGCGGGGAGGACTAAAGCTCAGGGGGTGTGGGGGGGTAGGGACTCCTCAAATCCCCATTCCTGGGAGCCACGTCCTCCTGATCCGCAGGTACCCATGGGGCTCCTCAACCACTGAGAAAGAACTTCTTGTAGGCTTTGTTCATCTGCTCCAAGAAGATAAAAGTGAGGACAGTATGGGGGCCAAGACGGGCATAGTAAGGAGTGAATCCCTTCCAGAGGCTGAAGAATCCTTCATATCGAATGACCTTCACCAACACATCCTGTCAAGCAACAAGGGGTGGGCTTAGGGGATGAGAGGAACACCAACCCCTCCCAACCCACACTGTTCCTCCCAACCAAGGGACCCAAGTATGAAAACTCCCAGGCCTTAGTCCATGGATGAATACAGGCCAAATATTTTACATAATATTTGCTTATTAAATGTTGAACAAAGAGATAGGTGAATAACTTCCCTCAATTCCCCAAATTCTCACCAATCCATTCTTATACTCGGGCTTCCCATCAATCATTCGCATATTCTGGATCCTGGGGTGAACACAAGAAGAGGTGAACAACAGGTTAGAGCCGTGGAGAAAGCTGGGGCCTGGGTGGAATGGAATGGGACCAAGGCTAACAATCTTTGATCATGGATTTATAACTAGAAGAGCCCTTTAATGTTTTCTAGCTTCATTCTACCATATTACAATTGAGGGAAAATGAAGAAAAGAGACCAGGTCTTCTTGATTCCAAGTCCAGAGCTCAAAAAATGGTATACCTGGTTTGCTGTCCTATTGAGCTATCATCTCCATCTGAACAATGGTAAGTGCATATGTGAAAACCCAGACATCCCCTTGCCTTTGCCTTAGAGACCTTGAGCCCACCTGGTTTTAACAATGTCCACAGGCATAGAGGCTGCTGTGGTGACCAGTCCACTGATCATACTGGCACAGAAGTGACAGAAGATGTTGTCAGAGAAGTGACCTACAGTGGCAGGAGAAAGAGAAAACAGTTTAAACCCTTGGAATGGCTGGAGCAGCATGGACTGGGGACCAGATGTTCAGGCGGGTGGGGAAGGTCTGGGACTCACCTGAATCCAAGAGAAACTGCTTAGACTGTGAATAAGAAGCAAGTTGGGCCGCATTGACAACAACAGCTCTAGCCATGGTAGGGATACAACCCTAGCATTAAGAGAAAAAGCAACATGTCAGCCCCCACCTCCTGCCCCATTCTCTCCCCTAATCATCAAGCCTCTTCCACTCACCCTCCAAAGGGTAGGGACCCCCTCTTCTCTGACAATCCTCAAGAGGGCATCAAAAACATTCTTGTAGCCTCTACGCTGATCTAATGGCACCCTGCAAAGAGTGAATGAGGTTAAGAATGGAAGGGAAGGGCAGGAGAGGGGATCTGGAAAGAGCCAAGGTCATGAAGGAAAGGACCAAGAACGACCAAGTGGTGATTCTACTCTCTTTGCATTATAAAGAACCACAGTACTTCACAGTCAGAACCATCAATCCCCTCATTTTATAGTTGAAAACATTGCATCCAGAGAAATAAACTGACTTGCCCAAAATTAGAGTGGAAGTAGTAGAACTAGAACCTGTCTCCAGACTGTCAATTCACTGCTTTTCCCAAGCCAATGGTCCCTAGAGAGTCTGGGGTCGTAGGTCCTTAGGTAGGATTTAGGCATGACTCACCGACCATCAGCTGTCATACGAATCAGGGCAACTTCAGCAGGTGTTCCCACAAAGGCTCCTGTGGCACCTGCGGTCATGCCAATCACAGCCTTCAGCAAGAAGCCAGGGGGTGTCCCATCTGCCCCAGTCAAGCGTTCAAAGAGAACAGTGTAAATGCCAAGGCGAGTTGTTGTGTAGGTCGCCTGGCGTAGGAGGCCAGCAGACAGCCTGATGGAAGGAGAAGGCTGGTTAGGAACTCAAGCATCAAGGCCCAATGGGAAAGGGGAAACCCCTTCTTTGGCCCTTCCTTCTAACAGCTCCAATGAGAAGAGCTGGCCATGGTGCCACACAGCTGCCAGGGTCTGATTCCCAGTCCCCATGCCTCCCCTACAGCGTCTGCCCCCTTCATTTCCCCAAAGGCCCACCAGGCCTCTAGTTCTCAGGTCCCTGGCCCTAGATTTACCCTGTGTAGATGCCTCGAAGCCCTTCAGCCCTCAGGATGCTGGCAAGGGCGTGGAAGCTGGTCTTGTATTCCCGGGTTTTGGCCCCTTCCCCACTCAGCTGCATTCGGTTCTTCACCAGGTCTAGAGGCTGCACAAAAACAGTGGCCCCCATCCTGAGGTGGGGGAAGAAGGGGGCTCAGAGACAGACCCTCAGAATCTCCATCCTGAGTGCCTCGGGTGCTCAGAGCAACAGCGCTGAGACACGTGCCGTGTGAAAGTGGACGGGCCAGGTGTGCCCACCGGGGTCCGAATTCGGGCTAAGTGTTGACGCAACTTTTCAAAGACTGGCTGTGCCAGGCCAGGGGGTCGCGCTGAGCTCGGGGCCGGGTCGGCGGGTTGTAATGACCCGGGGATCGGCAGGCCCGAGGGCCGAAGAGGGGACGGAGGTGTAATGGGGGCTCTGTGAAGGAGGGCCACGCGTCCGGCAGTCCAGGGCGATCGTGCGGTGGGAGCCGTGCAGCGTGGGGGCCGCGGGGGGGGTAACGGGCCGTGAGCAACGTCCGCGCTACCCCCGAGGCCGATCGGCCGTGCCGCCCCGTCCGTCCCCGGAGAAGCGCCCGGCTTCCAGCCCGGGCCAGGACATGTGTGGGGAAGAGAACGCTTACCCAGCCAGGCCCCCGAACAGGAACTTGACTGACTTGGGGGACGTGCGGGGCTTTAAAGCCACTTCGCCGCCCCCAGGAGTCGCCGCCGCCGCCATCTCCACTAATGCCCAGCTGCACCAGGGCCCGTGAACGCGCGCCCCCACACGCACCCAAGGTGACACTGCGCGCGCGCGCACGCGTCCTTGCTCACACTCTCCGCGTTCCCTCTCTTCAAGTCCAGGCAGCCCCGCCTTCTCCCCAGCCCCAGCACCGCTTCAGCTGGAAGCTGGCACGCAGGCGCAGAAAAGAGGCGACCAGGAAGTGGACCACTACCAGAGTAGTGAGGCAGAGGATTGGAGGCGGAGCTTGGAGAATAATGTTGGAGGTGGAGGTGGGTTTGAAGTTCGCGGAGAAGGGCGTAAATAAGAAGAGAGAGCTGGGGGAACTGAAATAAACGAGCGATGGATAGCGCATGGGCATCATTAGCATGGAGGCCCCAGAGAGCTAGAGAAAGCGGGAAAATCTCGTGAGATCAGGGAAGCCGGGGGAGTGACGAGGGAGATTCTCGCGACAATTGGCTTTAGTGTTTGGAGGATGAGGGAAGTGAGGAAGCTCTCGCGAGACTTAAATGAACCTGAGGTAGCGGCGGCGGCTCCAGCAGCCCTGGGAGGGAGTAGAGGTTTGTAAACTGGGAATCCCCGGGGGCAGCGGGAGCGGAAATCTTCCCTGAAGGATGGGAAAAGACTTTGCAGGAGGTTTCTTGGGCCACCTAGGCTTCCTCCACATCTGTAGCTATCCTTGTCGCCTTAATTCCCAGCTTTAACCGGCTGGCCCACTTTTGATGTCCCGTGGGCCCAGGTGTTGGGGGCCGGAAGTCCCTTTTAAGGGATGGGGGGGTCCTGCAGGTCCGGAAGTGCTCCTTGCCTCTTCTCTTTTACCGGAAGTTCCTCTTTCCATTTGGTTTCTCCCCTTTTACCCACAAATCACAAAACTTGAGTGGACCTAGAGGCCCCTACTGCCCCACCTTGTTAAGAACTGTCATTTCGCCTTCCCCATCCCCCCCCAGTACCACAGAGAGTTCGGGCTGGGTGAAAGTTTACTTGACCTGGGAGGGATATCCTTGGGGTTTAGGGGATGGGCCTGGGGCGCTGAAACAGAACTCCATTCTCTTTTTGGCTACAGGACTTCGTCCTCCCCAACCTGTGGCTGCTGCTGCTACCATGCGTCCTGAGGCCTTCCCATTCCCTGTGCTAATGGCTACCGTCCTATGGGGGATCACCCCCACTTGGGGGCTCATCCGAGCCGTGAGTCTGGGGACTTGGGCCCAGGGTGAGCTGAGCTTAGGACAACAGGTTCCCTATACAGAGTGGATCCCCAACCTTTTCTTACTCCATGGGTGTTAGAAAGAATGCTAGATTAGGAGCCAAAGGACCAGAATTCTCCAGCAGTTACTACCATTGTGTTAATTACTTACCATCTTTGGGCCTTAAGTTTCTTCGTTTGCTAAATGAGAGGTTTGGATTAAATCCCCTTCCAATTCTAAATTATATGTATCCAATATTAGAATTGAGGAAGGGAGGGGGCAGGGTTTCATCGGGCCGAAGGGGAGCACTGAATCTTATGTTACCAGACCTCTGACCACAACACCAGCATGGACTTTGCAGACCTTCCTGCCCTTTTTGGGGCTTCCCTGAGCCAAGAAGGGCTCCAGGTAAGTTGCTTATCATACACAAGTTTAGATCAGTGGGCATAAAGGGCTAGGTAAACAGTAAACTTAGTAATATAATGGAACTATAGTCAGAAGACCTAGTTTAGAAACTTGAATTTGTTGCTTTGTATCTTTGTGACATTGGGCAAATCACTTTTCTTCTCTGTGGCTCAGTATTCTCATCTGTAAAGTATAAGGGTTAGACTAGGTCAGGTAACTTGGGGTTCGTGAACTTTTTTTACATTTTGATGACTTTAAGTACAATTGAATCCTTCTGTAATTTTATGTATTTCATTTTATGCATTTAAAAACATTATTCTGAGAAGGCTTTACCAGACTTCCAAAGAAGTCCATGACACAAAAAAGTTAAGCCCTGGCTTTTTCATATTTTATAGCTAGAACTCTATAGCAGCATGTATTTAATTGGTGCTAGATTGGAGAGATTGATGGTTTGTACTTGGGAGGGAAGAGAGTTTATAATCAAGTTGAGAATTACTTCCTAGGAGAGTGAATAGTATGGTAGGGTTGAGATAGAAGTAGGTATCCTGAGCAAAAGCTTATCCTGCAGAAAGCCTGGAGTCTGGTGGTTGTGAAGGATGGTGTACACCCGAGGCAAGAAGTGGAGGATGAAAGTAGCTACTAGGGGAGAGGGTACTCAAGTGTGCAGGAATCTTACTGGAGAATTTGGGATAGTTATTCCAAAGGAGATTGTTTACAACTGGATGTTTCTAGTTAAGTTGGGTCTCTGCCTAATCTTATTCCCTCTCCCAGGGGTTCCTAGTGGAGGCTCATCCTGCCAATGCCTGTAGTCCTATAAATCCTCCACCTCTTGCTCCTGCCAATGGTTCTGCCTTTATTGCCCTGCTTCGGAGATTTGACTGCAACTTTGATCTCAAGGTGGGGAATGGGAATAGGGATGGTGGAAGCAGAGGTCTGGAGTGATTGGGTAGGGATTACTCTGACTCGGTTTCATCCTCACAGGTTCTAAATGCCCAGAAGGCTGGGTACAGGGCAGCTGTGGTCTACAATGTGAATTCCAATGAACTTTTGAATATGGTGTGGAATAGTGGTAAGAGTTGGGTTACCTGAGTCCTTAAGGAGTGGGGGGGGAGGTGAAGGGAGGTGGGGATGCCTGGGTCCCTGGTATGACAGTCCCATTCCTGCAGAGGAAATTCAGCAGCAGATCTGGATCCCATCAGTGTTTGTGGGAGAGACAAGCTCAGAGTACCTGCGCTCCCTCTTTGTCTACGACAAGGGGTATGATGTGTCTTCCCTGTCCTTAACCCCTGATTCATATCTGGTGTGTTCCTAATCCTTTTCCCACCCTAGATCTTTTCATTCACTATTTTCCTCTCCACCTTGTGTCCCCTGCCCCCTCCTCCTCCCCCATGCTCTTATAATTATTCTTTTATCTCAGTCTGACATACCATATTCCAGAGTCATTAAGCTCTGGTGGGAAGGGCACAGGACTCATGAGTTTGAATCCCTGCTCTTCCATTTCTTAAGTTTTATGACTGTGGCAGGTCTCTCTGAGCCTGTTTCCTCATTTGCAAAATATGAACAAGCAACTTGTATTGCCTATGCCACAGGTTTGTTGTGAGGAAGTTTTGTACACCATAAAGTATTAGAGAAATATGAGCTTTTGCACTTGAGTTTTTATTTCCCTTCCTTTTCCCTCGCTTCCAGTCCTTGAATGCCCCCCCCATTGCTATGCTCTCTGATCCCTCCCTCCCATTGTCCCTTCCTAGGGCCCGAGTCTTGCTGGTCCCAGACAACACCTTCCCTCTAGGCTATTACCTCATTCCCTTCACTGGGGTTGTGGGCCTGCTGGTTCTGGCCATGGGGGCTGTGCTGGTGAGTTAACTTTGGGCAAGGTCTGTTTTTCTGGGGGTTTGGGAAAGAGGCATAGACTGTGAAGTCACGCCAGCTCTATGAGGGGAGAGGAAACCTGGATTGAACTGGCCAGGCCTTTTTGATGCTTCCAGGGTGGGTTCCTCTCCTTTCTTCTGCCAGGTAGTGTCTTTCCTCTTCCCCCTGCCAGGTAGTTCGATGTATACAGCACCGGAAGCGGCTCCAAAGGAACCGACTGAGCAAAGAACAGCTGAAACAGATTCCCACCCATAACTATCAGAAGGGTGAGGCAGGGTTCTGGGATGACCTTCCATACAGGCAAGAGGCAGGGAGGACAGACCCAAACACTATCAAGGTCTGGGTATCAGTGTCTGAAAACAAGAGATAGAAGGCAGGAAAGGCTCCATAGACCAGAGCAAGGGTAAAAGAGAAAAGGCACAAAACAGAAAAAGGGGCTAAAGGCAAGAAAAACAAAAAACCTCAGGCCTAGTGTCCATATAAGGCTGGAGCTGAGGTCTGGCCCTTCCTTCCCCATTTCTGCTCATCTTCCCTTCTCCAAACCACTTCCCCTCACCTCTACCCCTTGCTGGCCTGATCCCTCTGTTCATCACTTCCTACTCTCCCACCATCCTCCTCCAGCCTGCCTTTTCTGCATTGAGTCCGTTGACCTTGGACAAATCTTTTTCTATCCTGGCCTCTAGTTTTCCTATTTGTTTAAAAAAAAAAAGTGATTAGGATTGGAAGGTAGAGAGGTAAGGTAGATTAAGTTGGCATAAGCAGCACATTGCAGGGACTTTTTACTATTGAGTTTGTATAGCTGGATTTAGTTAGGGAAAACACCTAAAATGGGGATTTTAACCTGGGGTTTTTAAAAAATATTTTGATAACTATTTCAATTATTCATTTTCACAAAACATTCTGAGAAGGGGGTTCATGATACAAGAGATTAATAACCCTTAAACCAGAATCAAGTCAATGATAGGCTAAGTAGGGGCCTTCATCTCATTCTTTTCCCAACTAGGTGATGAATATGATGTATGTGCCATCTGCCTGGAAGACTATGAGGATGGGGACAAGCTGAGGATACTACCATGTGCTCATGGTAAGGAATACTTCGCCCCCAAGGGTGTTGTTACTCTATTTCCCTTCTTATGTGACCCATTTCTATCTTGGTCTTTTCCTAGCCTATCATAGCCACTGTGTGGATCTCTGGCTCACCCAAACCCGGAAGACTTGTCCAATCTGCAAACAGCCAGTTCACCAAGAACCTGGGGAAGAAGAGGAAGAGCAGGAAGCAGAGGAGGATGGGGACAATGGAAATCCAGTCTCTGAACGGACCCCCCTTTTAGGCCCCTCTAGCACCCTCCCACCCTCCTTTGGTACCCTCTCCTCTACCCTTCCAGAAGAACCTTCTACCTCCCCATCCACCTCGGCTCTTCTTGTCTGACCTGAATTTGCACCTTCCTTCTTTGAGGATTTCCTGGGGTAGGGCCAGGCCCTTCCCCTTCTACATCTAAAGATTTTCATTGTTGGGTTAATAAAATTGTTTGTTTCTGGACCAGGGGTGGAGTCTTTCTCAGGACCCCCTCCCTCACGAACACCTTTAGTCTAGTTGTTTTTCTTGGTGGAGGAGGGAAAGGAAGGAATGCTGAAATGACAAGTAGCTTTTCTTTCCTAGTGCTTACTAGGAGGCGACAATCTTCCAGAAGGGGGAAAAGTTACACACCACCCTTTAAGACTTGGGACCTCCCAGCATTACTGAGGCACATTACTGAACTGTTTTGCTTTTCCCTGGAACCCACAGATGGTAGGGCCAGCTCTTCTGGAATTCACCCTGTTTTGGCAGATTCCAGTCCTCATCACACACACCTTTATTAGTAGAATCTTTTATTCATATTCCAATATAAGTTTCCAGAAAAAAAAACCAACAAAAATTTTTCAAAAAAAAAAAAAAAAATCTTCCCAACTACACACAGGAAGGAGGTTCAAAAGGAAAGGGGGGGGCACCTGTCCATCCAACCTGGCCCCCCCCCCAGGTGTAGTTTTGGCAGCAACAAGTGGGTGGGGGAATGGCCCAAAAAAACAATGGTGAGGAAAATGGTGCAGAAGCCTTGGGGAAGAAGGGGGGGGCAGGGAGGGTCAGTATTGAGAGCGTCGAAGGTGGGAAGCCATTTCATAACACTTCTTGTTGATCATTCCCCCATGGATACCTTCCTTCCCCATCAGCAGGACTAGCGCTAAGAATAGAAGAAAAGGAAGATTTGAGTACTCCCAGCCCCTACCACTTGTAACCAATTCTAAGCCTGTTAGTCAACAACCCCACATCTAACACCTCAAACACTATTCTAGGTGGAAAAATAGATGAAAAAGCTAAGGAAGTAAACAAACCCTCACCAGAAAGCAAAATTTTAGCCAGTATTTATCTAACAATATACTTTAAAGACACACCTGCATTTAAACATTTTGTGTTTAAGATTAGGGACCAGAAGATTGTCACAACTTACTCTTGGCAGTCATGGTAACAGTGAGGTTGAAGGTGGGAGCACCCCCGGTGCTCTTTGTACGAAGGTCCATGGTGTACTCTCCATCTAGCAGCAGCGAATCCCTGATCACTGAACATTTCTGGCCCCCAAGTGTCAGCCCATTTACGAAGAAAGTTGAACGATCTTTGCCAACCAATACAGCTACTTCAGCTGGCTATAGCATGGAATGAGGGAGGCACATAGAAGGATGAAGTTAAGAATCTAAGAACTGTGTGGCTTTCTCCCACTCCTCCCCCTCCCTGTTTGTGTGGGTAATTCTTCCAAGGAAGTTTGGGTCTGAATGTAAACAGATGAGTGTATAATTCCTCAAGAACTCACTTCAACAGCCCCTCACCATTTTCCCAAGAGGTAAAAGATTGGGAGAGTCAACTCAAAATCTACTATAAACTGTTAAGATGAAAAGTAGGAGAGCCAAGAGTCTGTGAAAGATGAGGGTATATGAAAGCACATGGCTTTTTCCCCTCAGGAAAGCAGAAGCAGAGGAGGAGGGGCCGGGGATAGAACAAAGCTGCTATGCCCTTATTTGGGCAAAGGCTCAGCCAAGCTCAGAGTGGGGGCCCTGGATTCCTGGGTCTGAGAACATTAGTTGGTGGTTTGGGGCCCAGATGACAACTAGGGGTGGGAGCCCAATGGATCCTGCAAACTCTAGCAACCAGAAAACTTTATTTTTTGGTAGCAGTGGTGCTAATGCAAGGGAGCTGGTAGCTCTCTCATATCAAAAATAACTTAAAGCACCCTCTCTACCCTCTACACCCCCCACACCCCACCAACCCCACATCCGGCCACTGAGCTCCCGGAAATCCCCACTTCAAACTTCCGCTCCCCCTCCCCACTTCCGGGCAAGCTAAACTGGGGAGAGAGCCCTCTGACCTTTATGACTCCCTATTCCACCCTCCTACCCCCAACCAAACTTCCCTAAAACTTCCCCGTTCAACCCCACTTCTGACATTAAAACGGATTGAGGGAAATGGAGAGGCGAGATGAATTCCTTTACGGAAATTTGCCAATGGGGAAGGGTGCAATAGCAGGACCCCAAATGAGTAAGGCCATGGGGAAATACGGGGGCTGAAGAAAAGCTTGTAAGGAGGTGCAGGGAGTGGCAATGCCCTGAGAGAACAGGCCCGAGCCAGGCCTGGCCAGGAGTAGCCCCTAGGCACCAAGAAGCTCCAGGAGCCTTGGCTTCCTTCTACTCCCCCACCCCCCCCATGGGGGCGAACAATGGTGGAACGAGTGGGGGCGCGTATGCATGCAACCGGAAGTGCAGGGGCGCCCCGCCATCCCCTTAAAAAAAAAAAGGTTAAGGGGGAAAAATCTCCCATCCACCCCGCCCCGCCCTGGGGGAGGCGGAAGTGTCTGATGAACCGGGCGGCTGGCGCCCCTCCCCGCCCTGTGCCCCGGATGTAACGCCCTCCCTCAGAACCGTGGTGGTGCTAGGAGGACTATGGAGCGGGAGTCCCAGGAATTTGGGGGAAAAACGGTCGAGGGGGGAGGGCGGGTTTGCAATGCTACCCGAGAATCCATTTAAAGGCCTCGGCGCAAAAAGTCAAAAGGAAAATGTGGTGAGAGGTGAAAGCCAGGCCTTCGAGAAGAGGAAGGATGGGAAACCACTTCTCTGCCCCTTGTCCCGTTACCCCAGCGCCAGCGTCTTCCGCGCGGCACCCAAGTGTCCCCACAACTGCCCAAATTCACTTACATCCTGTTACCGCCCAGCCTGGCCGAGATTTCTCAACCAAACCGACCCTCAGGCCCCCAATCTCTCCGGCTGTTCTGCTCCTAACCCTTAACTTCCCCATCCCCCCACCAGCCCTGAAATTTAAAAAAAAAACAAAAACCCGACCAAACCTCCAAATGCATCTCCCGCTTTCCAATGCACCCCAAAATGAACTTCCCCCCCAAACAGCCTCCAGGCCCTAGCTTGCCCCCTTTCTATATACCGTGATATTGGCGAAGGTTTTCCCGGGAACGGCGGCCCAGACCGAGGGCGAGTCTTTATAGCCGACTATGGCCGCGTCCTGACAGGTCCCGTCCGCCATGAGGTTGTCGATGTAGGCGTTCCAACCGGCCATATCGCTGGCGGTCTGGCTCTGCTGCTACTGCGGGCAGGGGGTGGCGGAGAGCTCGGAACACGCGCTGCTGTCCGGACTCGCTGCTCCGTTCTCTCTGCTGCCTTCAGCTCTGCTTCCTGCTCGTCCTGCTGCTCCTCCTCCCCCCTCCCCCCTCCTTTTTTTTTTCCTGCAAGCGACAGTGGAGGCGGGGCCGCCTCTTCTTTCCCCCTCCGCCTCCCCTGAGACCAAAAACTTTGCAAATAACAATTTTTAAAACTACTCCCCCTCCCCAGTAGCCAAATTTGCTGAATGCATTAAAAGGACCTCTGGGCGGGAGTGGGGGTGGGAATGTAGGGTTAGGATGTTAGGCGCATCTTAGGGAATAAATCAAACTCCGGTAGGGGATAAGGACGGTGAAAACGGACACTATGCAAGCCCCAAATAATGCAAATCGTAGGAAGGTCTGGCATAAACCGGGTTAAATTTTTAACACTCTTTTTCTACCCCAGCCCCCAGCTCGGAATGCAGGGATGATTTACTCAGCCGCATGCGCTGGAAGGCCCAGGAGGAGCCGGAACTTGGGGAGGGCTGGGCGAGGCAGGCAGGGATGGAAGGAAAAGTCTCCTCCCCAGCGGGCCGTAAAGGGGTGGGGATCGTGGAAGTGGAAATTGGGAGTCGCCGCTGCGCCTGCGCGGGGATACGCATGCTCAGATTTTTTTTTTTTTTTTAGCCGGGGAGGGAAGGAAACGTGTCTCGCTCTGGGTTCCCTGGTCGCTTCTCCCGCCAATGCAGTCTTATTTTCTCTCTTGGCAGGGAGAAAGTAGAGGGAAAGAAAGGAAGGCTTACTAGGTTCCTCTGTTGCCCCTTTGGGGTCCTACGTGTGCCACTTCCCCACTCTAAGCAGGCCCTACGCCGCTCTCTCCAGTCTCTAGTTTCGCTGGGGAAATATCCCTCCGCTTTCGGCGGGACGGGAGCCCCACCCATAGCGCGGCCCGCCCCCCCCCGCTCCCCTCCCCTCCCCCCCCCCTGCCGCCAGGTTTGAGGCCGACTGGGCCGAGACTTGGGGAAGCCTCTGGCGGGGAGGGACGAGCTACGGGGGGAGGACGGAGGGATGGGACCACAGACTAGAGCACGTTGGAGGAGCGAGGGCCATGGAAGCTTTTTTTTTCCTCCAAACTTTTTGCCGGGACACGAAGCGGTTTGCCAGCTTCCGGGCCCGCTGGGCACGAGGCGGGGCAGGGAGGGGCCGAGGCGATCCGGGCTGCTGGGGCTGACGGAGCGAGCTTCTCCCCCCTCCCCATATTCCCCCCGACCAGGGGCTTGGCCGCTTCCGGTCGGCTTGCTTTCACTTAATTTCTAGAATCCCACGGGGTCTCTGCAGTCCAGGGGGACCCAGGTGCCGGTCCCTAATGCGCGAAGCCGCCCTGACTTCTGCCCTGGGCGGTGCCGTATTCTAGGGCTCGTGGCAGGCACTCGCCTCCCCGGATCGCCTGACCTCTGCCACCCCCCCCCCCCCGCCCCAAGTCTGCACTCACCGAAGGGCGGAGCGGAAAATAACCGGGGGGCGGGGGGGGCGGGACAGGCCCAGATTTTGGGAGATAAGCGAAGGGGGAGGGAGGGGCCCGGATGAGATAACGTGAGGTCGGCTTTGGGCATAGATGGTAATGGGATTGTGGGGAGAGAATCCCGAGACCCAAGTGAGTCAGGCCGAGTGATTGGAGGCGCAGAGCCGGGCTGGGAGGGTGGTGAGTCACGGAGGCCCCCAGGCGCCTGGGCGAAGGAGCTCTCGTCTGGGAGGAGACACTAGAAACTCCCAGGCGGGTCCGTTTGCTTTTCTTCTTCTCTGTCCTTCTACGGAGAGAGGGAGGGAGCACTGAGTAAAAGCCTGGGGCAAAGTCTCATTTAGAGAAACCAGAGGAGGCCGAGAGCCTCAGATTTAGGAGAGTTAAAGATTTAAGGCCTCAGAAGCAGAAAGAAACGAACTCTGAGGTGCAAAGACAGAATGAGGGACTCAGGCACAGTAGACAAGACAGAAAGAGCCATGATGGACCGGGAGATGTGAGGGTACAAATGATGGCACATAAAAGGAGACAGAAGCAAAGGCCCAACGAAAGACATGGAAAGACCAGGGAAAGATGGAGGCAAAAATTAATTCCGAGACTAAGAGACCAGGAGACATTTACAAAGTTTCAATCAAAAGTAGTAGTCACTAGGATAGACAGAAGACTGACACAGGAAGGCAAAAACAAATAGACTTGGAAATAAACATAGGGAGACAGACTCTGAAACTTAGTAGATAGAGAGACTCAAGAGTAGAGACAGACTTGGAAATAGACGAAGGGAAACAGATAAGAGACTTAGAAATAAAAATACTCAGAGACCCAAAGATAAACATTGACAAGAAATAGACACATAAGTATATGATCACAGTTTCAGAGGCAGAAGGGATGAGGAAACATCTACAATACTTGCTCAAGGTCACACATAAAAAATGGCAAAATCAGGACTCAAATTCAGGTCTTTCGACACAAATCCAGACCTCTTTTGAATGTACCAGGACAGAAAGAAACTTGAGACCGATTTGGTGAGGCAGCGAAACAAGCAGATTCCAAATTATTCAATCTTGATTTTGGAAAGAACTTCAAAGGTCATCTAAGCCCAACTTCCCAATGTAGGAATCTCCTCTGGTTGCATCACCAAGACAGGTGTTCAGTAAGCCTATATTTGAACTTAAACATTGGGAGAAGGAAAAAGAGATACTGGGCAAACTTCAGATGGACATAGATACTAAGGGACAGAGAGACAGAGGAAGCCAGGAACAGATTCGGGCAGAGAAAGACATTCAGAAACAGACTTAACTAAGAAGAAACTAATAGAAAAGAAAAAAAAAATAGAGCAGAAAGAGACTAACAGAGAGACACAGACAAGGACCCAGAGACGAGATTCCAATGGAGATACAAGGAGACAGACGAAAATAGAGAGGAAAAAAGACAGAGGCTGATCAAGAAAGAGACAGGAAGATTGAGGCCCACAAAGGTCTGTGTTTAAGTTTGCACACTGTGTAGGAGGTACAGGGTTCCTTTCCTTTGAGAACTGATCCTTGAGGGAGGAGAGATCATCAGCTTTAAGAAACCTAAGAAGATAGACCTTTTGAACTCCAGTGGTTGGTAGAAACCTATATTCATACTGAGGCCCTTGGGCCAAATCCTGATCCCTCCCAATTTCCCCTTAAGACCCACTGCCGACGTGCCTCTTTACCAGGAGGTATGTGGATGAGTGTAACTTCCCCTCCCCCAAGACCCCTCAGCAGTCTGTGCATGAAGGGGTAGAGGCTCATGTTACCCATTTGCCCTTTTCTAAAGGTTCATCTTTAACCTTTGCTGCTGGAAATTCAACCCAGGCAATGGGTAAGGGAAAGGTTTAATAGCTGACCCCCCCCCCAGCTAAGCCCCTTTTGTGGGTGGCGAAATTAAGGGGGGGGTGACTTTTTAGGGGAGGGCACAGCATCAGTAGAGGGGGAGGAGTGTTTTAGGGACTGTGAATTTGCCTTCGGTGGGCAACTACTAGCTGCCAGTCACTGAGCTGGGGAGGGGTAGACAGGGGAGGGGCTGGCCATAGGGGCGGGGTCAGTAATAAATGCCAGGGTTAGGAGTGATAGCCTGACACTGTCCCAGCAGCAGTCCATACCCCCAGACCTTGTCCAAGGAACACCAGCTGTGGTGAGACCTCTTAGGCCCGATTCTAGAGGGGTAGGGGAGGGGCAGGGATGGGTTCTCTCCCTCACCTCCTACAATAAGCTGTAATTCATAGCCACAGACTGGGGAGAGACTGGAGAGAGACTGGAAAATGAGAAAGTTGGAGGGGATGGAGAGATAGATAGCTGAATGGGGGAGAGGTTGGAGTAGAGCCTAGAGGTGTTAAAGGAGGAAACAAGGATTTGGGGAAGACAAGACAAAGAGGAGAGGGAGATGGGATAAGGTAGAGACATAGCCAGAATGTGAGAATGATGGGGAGGAACGTGAAGAGTAGGGTAAGGGGGGGTGGGGGGAATAGGAAGAGGAGAGAGAGACAAAACTAGACAGGGGGGAGAGGAAGAATAGAGATGGGAGAACTAAAAGAATTAGGAGAAGTGGTATAGGGAACATAGTAGATTAAAACAGAGGTAAGGTATTGGGGGACTGGAGGTAGGGACATGGATAGGATGGCAGGATAATGAGAGTGAAATGAAGGAAAAGAGAGTCTGAGAAGGTTGGGGGGAGATGAAAGGGATTGGGGGGTAATTAAAAGGGAAAAGATTTTCTAGCATAAGTTGGTGGGGGGATGGGAGGAGTTCTGAGTAAGGAAAGGGAGCTGGGCTTCTCTGGTCTATGACCTTTTTCTAGGCTATTTTTAGTACCAGCACCTGCCTTCCTGGCTTGAGGAAAGACTTAAAGGGCATGGGAGCTTTTGGGGGTGTTTTTTTTGGTTCTTTAAAAACTTCTTCACTGACAAAGTCCACAGCCATGGCAATGCAGAAGATTTTTGCAAGAGAAATCCTAGATTCTAGGGGGAACCCCACAGTGGAGGTGGATCTATACACAGCCAAAGGTGAGAAGGGAGCCTGCATGTCTTCAAATGTATCTCCAAACACACCTCTTCCTGACTTCTCTCCACAACTTTTCTTGGATTCTATAGCCCACACATCCCTGTTACCCCTTCCTGGTATATTCCAGACCCAAACTAAATTGAGTCCCTTAATCACCCAAACCTCGGTTCCTCCCAGACTGCTTCTCAGCTAACCACTTCTCCAGCCCCCAGGACTCAGAAATAAGATCTATTTATCCTTTTGTCCCTCTTTTTCCTTGGTTTCTGTTTTGGGACCCTAGAACCTAGGTTTCCTCCCACTTGGGCTCTTGAGAGGGAAGTAGTCTTAACTCATTTCTACCCCTTACTCCTCAGGCCGATTCAGAGCTGCTGTACCCAGTGGGGCCTCCACTGGGATTTATGAAGCTCTGGAGCTGAGAGATGGAGATAAAAGCAGATACCTGGGGAAAGGTGAGATATTACTTTAAAGAAATTGTATTTGTTTGGGGAGAAATGGGAGGGTGGGCAGAGTATTGTACCCCATGGATGGTATTTGTGAACTTGGGATCTTTTTAGTCTAGGAAGACAGAACCTTATTGATCCCCAACCTCTGCTCTCTTCCGTAGGGGTGCTGAAGGCTGTGGAACACATCAATAAGACTTTGGCCCCTGCTTTACTGGAGAAGGTAATAGTCAAGAGAACTGCCAGAAATCCCTCAAATTTGTCCTCTCTCCCCTATTCCTGGTACTTTCCCCTTTTTCACCCTCCATTCCCCACAGTCATTAATTATGACCTGAGCCTCTTAGGTCCTTGCTTAATTCAACCACAATCAGTCCCTTGTATGTCTTTGTTTTTTGTGTTCTCTCATCCAGAAATTGAGTGTTGTGGATCAAGAAAAAGTTGATAAATTCATGATTGAACTTGATGGGACAGAGAACAAATGTGAGTGAGGGGGTTTCAAAGGAGAGGGGACCAGAGAATAACCCCATTCCCAAAGGGAGAGGGGGCTGGAGGGGAGAAGGGTCTCACTCCAAGTGAAGAAGTATCTCACATCATCGGTTTCTCTACAGCCAAGTTTGGGGCCAATGCCATCCTGGGTGTGTCTCTGGCTGTATGTAAGGCAGGAGCAGCAGAGAAGGGAGTACCCCTCTACAGACACATCGCGGATCTTGCTGGGAATCCAGACCTTGTGCTGCCAGTACCGGTTAGCTTTTTTTGACCCTGGGACAAGGGTCATTCCTTTCAACTTAGCCTTAAGACAGAAGTTACCCCCCATTTTCAAGGGTAAAAACTCTTTAGGAAATCTAGACCCTACTTCACTGCCCAGATGGATCGCTTCCTAAAGTATAGCCTCCTTCTCTGTGTTGCTTTCTAGTTCAGCACCCTATTCTCTTTCCCAGGATAAGGGCCTGGGAATGTCTTTCCTTAACTCTCATCCTATTCCTTGCAGTCCTTTGTGTAGTCTGGATCACTTACATCTCAAATAGAGTCTAACTTCAAATCAACAAGCATTTATTAAGTTCCTACTATGTACAAGGCATTGTGCCAGGCACTGGGGATACAAAAATGAAAGGGGGCACAATCCTGTCATCAGTTATTTTACAGGATAATAAGGGAGGAACCTATATGAACTACAAATAGGAATAATACAAGGTAGAATGTAATAAAGGCAGAAAAATTATTCGTTCCAGCAAAGAGTAGTAGCTGAGTCATCAGGCATATATCCATTCTTGGAGGAGGTAGTACCTGAGCTAGGTAGAGGAATTTCCTTCCAAGCAAGAGGATTTCCTTCCAGCTCTAAATTTATAATCCTGATTTCAACAGGCAAAAATGTGGAAAGAGTGTATTATAAGGTGGGTGTAGGAAGAAAACAGGTGACTATGATGTTTGACTGAAATACAGACTGAACAAAGGAGTTGGAGTGGATTATCATATGCCCAAAACTACAATATTATTTCATAGGCCATTTGGTTATCACATTTTGCACTACTAATGTAAAATAAGGCTAAGTATACACTGAAACTGGATGATAGACAGCCTTGAAGGAAATATAAGGAGTCTGTATTCTATACAATAGGATAGTGAGCCACTGAAGACTTCGGAGCAGACTTTTGCTTCAGACGATTTTAGAAGTTGTGTGAAGGACCAAGAAAGGTGCAGATCATTGAATCTGGAATTGAAAAAGGAATGATGGATGAAGGGAGAGGAGAGATGGGGCTAAGAGGCGAGTGAAGGTCTGAGAAAGAGGGGAGTGGCATGAGAGGGATGGACATAAGAGATGTGGTGGAGGTAAAATCAACTACAACCAGTCTTGTTTGTGCAAAGGGACTGTTTACCATTTGAGAGTGGAGACCATGTCTTAGAGTTTCCTCCTGAGTCACTGAATTAAATTCTTCCCTTAGGGAAATCTTTTGAATTTAATGTCCAGTCTTCCCTCTACAGCTCAAGTCTTTCCTTATGCTACAGTCCTAGTGTTATCTCACTCCCTCTCTCCCACTATGGTCAGAATCTGAACCTCCCTCCACTTAATTTCCCCCAGGCCTTCAATGTAATCAATGGGGGATCCCATGCTGGAAACAAATTGGCCATGCAGGAGTTCATGATCCTGCCCGTGGGGGCTTCATCGTTCAGAGAGGCGATGCGTATTGGGGCTGAAGTCTACCACCATCTAAAGGGTGTCATCAAGGCTAAGTACGGGAAGGATGCCACAAATGTAGGCGATGAGGGTGGGTTTGCCCCCAACATCTTGGAGAACAATGAAGGTCAGTCAGTGGGGTGAGGAGGGGGGAGGGAAAGAATGGGTCCATAAAGGGAATAGGGGCTAGAGGGAAAACTGGGGTTTTACTTCTTTAATTTCCCCTTTACCCCCAGCCTTGGAGTTGCTGAAAACAGCCATCCAGGCAGCTGGTTACCCAGACAAGGTGGTGATTGGCATGGATGTTGCTGCCTCTGAGTTCTATAGAAGTGGGAAATATGATCTTGACTTCAAATCCCCTGATGATCCTGCCCGGTACATCTCTGGGGAGAAGCTCGGGGAGCTATATAAGAGCTTCATCAAGAACTACCCTGGTAAGGGACTCAAGGACCCTATCCTTCCTTCCCCCTTACAGAACTCCAGAACCTTATTCCCTTGCCTCCCTAATTTATTCTGTCTACTGTATTTTCTTTGATCCTAGTGGTCTCTCTTACTGCTACACCTAATAATAATAACATATATCTTAATAATAATAATAACATATATATAACTCCTGTATTGAGAAGCAGAGCTGGGATTCCCAACACAGGCCCTCTGAATCCAGACCCAGTGTTCTTGCCCCTCCTTTGTGCACAAGGTTAGAGCTGTGATTTGAATCCAGGATCTCTGACAACAGGGCCGTTGTTTTTTCCACTCCATCAAAGCACCTCTCTCTGTTCTTACTCTAACCCTCTCCCCATGATCTCCTTCATTCCCCACACAGTGGTTTCCATTGAGGACCCCTTTGACCAGGATGACTGGGCCACATGGACTTCATTTCTTTCTGGAGTTAACATCCAGATTGTGGGTGATGACCTCACTGTCACCAACCCCAAGCGCATTGCCCAAGCTGTAGAAAAGCGAGCCTGTAACTGCCTCTTACTGAAAGTCAACCAGATTGGCTCTGTCACCGAATCCATCCAGGCGTGAGTCCCGAGTGGGCAAGATGGAGGGAGGTGGGAATCACCCCATGTTCTAGAAATTTGCCCATTAATTAGTTATCCTCCTACACACATATCCCTGGTCCAATCTCCCTCTATCCAGAAGCCTCACCAGGAAAATTCAAAGTAAAAAAATCTTCACTTCCTCTTCTCCCCAAAAGGTCAGTGGTCATTTCCCCATTGCTCTTTCACTCTTGTCAAGAATCCCTGATACATGTTTTGTGTACACATGATCCTCTCCCCATCACCTCCCTCCCCCAGCCAAGTTCTTTGAATATATTGTAAGCACTTTAAAAATGGATGTAGTGTGAATGGATGAATGACCTGGGTTCAAACAAAGGGATCATGGGATCACAGACTTAGGGCCGGAAGGGGTCTCAAGCTATGTAGCCCAACTCCCCCTTTTTAGAGATGAGGAAATTCGTCTGTAAGGAGGCTGAGACTTGCCCAGGGTCCTCTGGGTAGTAGGTGTCAGAGGTAGAGTTTGAACCCGAGTCGTCTGAGTTGAGTCAATGTTCTTTCCGCTGTAATGAGCCTGGGCCCCTCTCTCTTGTAGTTGCAAACTGGCACAGACTAATGGCTGGGGAGTGATGGTTAGCCACCGATCTGGAGAAACAGAAGACACCTTCATAGCTGATTTGGTGGTGGGACTCTGCACTGGCCAGGTAGGGAACAGGACGTCCCCTCATCTCCTTGTGGCCACCAGAGCTAAGTCTTCTGGAAGCTCTCACTCGACCCTGAATTTCCTCTTTCCCCATATGTTTCTCATCCCTGGATTGTAGCATTTCTCCATTTGACTCTGTAACTTTCCTCCTTTGTCTCATTATATTAGATCAAGACCGGGGCCCCTTGTCGTTCTGAACGGCTGGCCAAATACAATCAGCTCATGAGGTACCTGGATGCTGCAGGGGGAAGGGATGGAAGGGAGGTTGGGGGTGTCCAAGGGAAAAAGTGAGGCAGAGGTAGAACAGGAAGTGGCCATTCTCACTGCTGTTTTATTTCCTGCCTAGGATTGAGGAGGCTCTTGGAGACAAGGCTGTCTTTGCTGGGCGGAAGTTCCGTAACCCCAAGGCCAAGTAAATGGAGGGCACCATGTCCTAGATCAACAGAGGCATCTGAGTTCATCACTGTCTCTACCACTCCTCTCAATAAAGCACTTTGGACAGCAAGAATGACTAGGGCATCATGGTTTGGGATCAGAAAAGGACATCTTAGCCTCAGGGAGAGGACAGGAGAAAGGGACATCCGTGTTGAAAAGGGAATAGCAGCACCGTGGAATAAAAACACCACAGACTTGTAGGCAGCAGACTTGAGGGTGAAGGTCTATATGACCTTCCCCTTTTTCAGTCTGTTTCCTCATTTATAAAATGGAGGTAATAATATTTGTACCATCTACCTTCTGGGGCTGTTGTGAAAATCAAATGAGATGATAGATGTGAAATCACTTTGTAAATCAAAGCCCTGCATAAATGTCAGCTACTAGTAATAGTAAATGACCATTGGGGAAAGAAGGAGAAAATGAAGGTTGGTCAGAGAGGAAGTTTGGGCTGAGCTGTAGGAAGAAGACATAATATAAGAACATCATGGGGTGGGGGAAGGAGAGAGACAAAACCCTAAGAGCAGAAGTTGTTGGAAAAGGTCAAAGAAGTGAAGCCTCCCAGTAGGGTAGAGTGGAGACAGTGGCAGATGTAATTTATACAGCTGTGAGGAGAAGAACATTTGGATCAGATTTGACCAAAACAAACCAAACTGATTTTGAGAGGTACATAGGGTACAGCAGCAAAAGAGGCTTGAAGGTTCTAGGCCCAGCTCTTGCCACTAACTCCCCATGTGACCATGGGCAATTCAACTTTACCTCTCTGGGGCTCACTTTTCTCATCTGTTAAATAAGAGAATGCAAGGGTTTTTTGGCTCTAAAAATTCTAATTCTAAGGTCTGATCCTCACCCAAAAGCAAACATCCTTGTCCCAGGGTCCATGACTTTCTTCACACTCAAGTCACTCCCAGCAAGGATTCAGTTATCTGGTTTGCCCCATGCACAAACCAGCACATGGGGTCAAACAGTGTTTATTGAGCATAAAGTTACTTTAGCCTTGAGGGGAGAGAAACACCCCCAGGAAAACGGAGGATAATATAGATTAAATATTCACTCTTACATTCTGTCACACATCTTTTGGGGGAAATTGGAAGGAAATTCACTCAACTACCCCATATAACCAACCAACATTTAAAAAATCTAAAACCACTCAGACCAGATCACCATAGGAGAGGCTCCATACCCATCTCTCCATCCTAATGGCTCCACTGGGAGGTCAGAGGTCAACCTCTGGTATGGTTATCAGAAGTCAAGACAAGGTGGCATTGTAGTGCCTGAAACTTCATCCATGGCCCGATTCCCCCTTTTCAAAGCCACAGGGGGGTTGTAAGGGGAGGAGATAGAAAGGCAAAGGACCTAGGAGCTGGGAGTCCCTTCCTCTCCACTCTGACGAAGGCGTTTCTTGGCACGGATCTCATTCATGGCCTCCTCAATGGAGCGTGTGTCCCTCTTATTGGCTACTGGAACTAGGAATGGGAGCAAAGGAGGGATGTGAAGGGACTGAGAATTCTCTTAGTACTCAGCTTTCCATCCTGCCACCATTGCCCTTAAAGACCAAGACCTCCAGAGCCCTAGTTCTCCCCTAAGTCCAAGTCTCTTTCCTCTTCCCCTTGTTTCTCCCGCACTTTACTCCCTCCAACCCTGTCCAACACTGCTTCCCATCCTCTCACCACAGCCATAGGTCTTGTTGGCCTGCAGCATGTGAGCAGCATCCTTGGCTGCCCCTTTGCCAATGAGGTGACTGTATTTGTCCTTGTAGTCACTCACAGGACTCACGATGGCAGGGCCTTTCTGGGCAGCTTCCTCCTCTTGCCACTGGGCTAACTCCTAAAGAGGAGAGTGGGAAGAAGTGACGTTGGAGGTTAAAGGCTTGGCTACCAGATTCCCTATGGAAAACAGGAGTTTGAGGGAGCCTCCAACTGGCAGAGGCACTCGTTTTACCTTCAGTCTGCGCTTCTCCTCTGCCTGCTGTGGGTCCCACTCCTCCCCCCGGCGGTATGAGTCAAGCTCTTCATCAGAGGGTGCAAACTCCTTAGGAGTGAAGGGAATGACATCATCAGGATCCCATAGGGTCCACCTTGATCCAAATGGGCCCGCCCCCTGACCCCCTTGGGAAAAGGACTGGTAGACTGGAGAGTGAGGAAAGAAAAGAAGGATGTCTTTCTCACCTTCTTGAAGATCATGACGTATCGACATTCATCATCCTCCCCAAAGGAGAAGGACGTCAGGCCAGCCACCTCCACAACATCGTGTCTGGGTTGAAGAATAGAGGAGAGTGAGTATGCATGGAAGGGTGAGAGTAGCAGAAGGCCCGGGAGGGTCTGTGACCCCCACCTAAAGGATTCTCCATCCCCCTGTTATTTCTTCCCACCCTTACCCTAATCTCAAATAATCACAATAATCATGTTACATTTATAGAGAGCTTTACTGTTTACAATCCATCTCACACACTTCTCATTTGATGCTCATAACTCTGACCATTTTACAAATGAAGAAACTGAGGGTCTGAAAATTAAAGGGACTTGCCCATAGTCACATAGTTGACAAGTGACTTGAACCAGGCATCCTGACTCCAAACCTAATCCTCTTGCCATGACTGCCTTCCCAAGTGTCCTGCCCCGCTTCTCCACCTCCACCCCTAGTCTCTCAGCCCCTTCACTCACAATATACTCCTCTCAATCTTGTTCATTGGCTGGAACTTTCTCTTGGTCTGACCACTGTCCTGGATGAAATCTGACACCTCTTTCTCCATCTTGGGAAGAAGTGGAAAGAGAGAAGCCATAAGATGGGGGTGTCCCTCTCCACTCCCACCCTACTGCACTCAGACGGACCCAGCTACACTTCAGGTCCACTGCCTCTCTCCATACCCAATGTTCTTCAAGGTTCCTGCTCTCCTAGAAAAATCAACCCAACCTCCCAATTCGGTAACTTCAGGAGTTTCTCCCAAATGCACTTTCTAGCCCTCTTGCCACACGTACCCGCTTTCGAAATTCCACTTTCTGACGCTTCTCCTGCTCCTGCAATTTCTTCAAGCAAGCAGCCTGTTCTAGAAATGAGAAAGGAAGTCCTAAGCAAACAATCAATGAACAAGTTTTTACCAACCACCTACCATGTGCCAGGAACTCTTAGGTGCTATGGATTCAAAAATGAAAGTAAAATAATCCCTGTCTGTAAGGAGCTTACATTATATAGGGAGAGACAACATGTACATACATAGGTGTATTCAAAATAGATATAAGATGATTTGGAGGGAAAGGCTTCATGTAGATAGTGGGTGCTTGAGCTGAGCTATAAAAGAAACAGTAATTTTTTTTTTTTTTTTGGTGAGGCAATCGGGGTTAAGTGACTTGCCCAGGGTCACACAGCTAGTGTCAAGTGTCTGAGCTCAGGTTTGAACTCAGGTCCTCCTAGCTGCCCCAGAATCAGTAATCTTAAAGAAATTTCTATTGCTTTTGTTTGTTTGTTTTTCTCTCTTTTTCTTTTCTTTTTTTTAAAGGCAATTGGGGTTAAGTGACTTGCCCAGGGTCACACAGCTAGTAAGTGTCAAGTGTTTGGTCCAAGGCCAAATTTGACCTCAGGTCCTCCTGACTTCAGGGCCAGTGCTCCATCCACTGCGCCACCTAGCTGCCCCTGTTTGTTTGTTTTTAAACCAATTAAATCCCCCTCCCCACCTGCATTCTCTTCCTGGTCTTCCCATATAATACAAAATATTTTTTAAAGAAAAAGAGGAATAAGAGGGAAAAAGTTAGCTAAACCAACAATATGGTTTAAAAATCTGATAATAAATGCAATGCTCCCTTTTCTTGCTCAGTTCCCCAGGAAGGGGTGGGAGTGGGAGGAGTTGTCTTCTTTCTTCTTTCGGGGCTATGCTTGTCTTCCATAATTTTTTTTGATTAGGGGGTATGTGTGTGTGTGTGTGTGATGCTCTGAGAGGTAGCGGGCTGCCCCTCACAGAGGTGTTCAAGCAAAGGTTGAGTAAATAAGGGATTCACTCTACGGCCTCTGCTGCCTTCTCTCGTGTTCGGGGAGTTTCAGTGCTAAGACTCTGTGATTCTATCCAGGGATGAAGTAGGGGTCATGGATAGATTTCAACAGTTGGATGGAAGGGGGTGGGGAATGACATTTTTCTTCTCACTAACCTCTACTTGAAATGTAGCATTTCCTCCAATGATGAAAAATGTAGGTGACAGACATTCTGAGGAGTCCACACACTTCACCAGATTGCCAAAGGAGTCCATGACACCAAAAAAGGTTAAGAATCTCTGTTTTAGGGAAAGGCTATCCATCTGACAAAAATCTGATTTATGTTCATCCACTACTGGGGATACTCAATTCAACAAATATTTATTAAGTACCTACTGTGCCCAAGGTAAGATATATGTGAGGAAGGCAAAGCTAAAAACAAAACATTCCCCAATCTCCAAGACTTTACATTCTGCTAGGTAGGATTCAACATATACAGAATTAAGTAAATGCAAGCTAATTTAAGAGGGAAAAGGGAAGGACACCTGGAGGAGGGGGCAGCTCAGTTAAGCCTTGAAGGAAATAAACATTCTGAGAGGCCAAAATAAGGAGAGGATCCATTTGGCAGCTTATGCAAATACGGAGAAGGGATGGTGAGTTCAAGGAACAGCCAAGAGTCTAGTCTGCCTGTACATAGTGGGTAAAAAAGCCTGATACAAAATAAGCTGAGGAGACTGGGTATATGAACACTTCAGATCTATAGCAGTATAATGGAAAGCACGAAATCTGGGCTCAAATTTCACCTCGGTGCAATGAAAGATAGCTGGAAATCAAGCAAGTCACTTCACTACTCTAGGCCTTAGTTTCTTCAACTATAAAATGAAGAGCTTCAACTAAATAGTATCTAAGGTCCCTTCCAACTCCAAGGCTATGATCCTATGATACTAAGTCATTTCGGTTTCCTTATTTATAAAATGAAGATAATACCTGTAGTACTTAATTCTCAAAGTTGTTTGTATATAAAGTGCTTTTATTATTACTATTATTTTTTGAACTGGATCTGTGATTCCATTGGTATATAAGGACCTCCTTACATTTCCTCCATGGAGGAAACTTCATATACAAATGCTGGGATTGGCACCTGCACTGCAATTTAAAGTCTTACAAGAGTTTCCTGGGGCACTAGGAGGTTCAGTGACCTGCCCAGAGTCACAAAGCCAGGATGGGAATGACCCAGGTCTTCCTGACTCCAAGGCCAGCTCTCTATTCCTTTCTCTTCGTTATCATCATTATTATTATTATATAAGTACCTACAATACCCAATATTACATGTTAAGTACATTAGAGAAGTAAAAACAAAA